TGTTGTTTGGCGGGCCCGGGCTGGGGATTCGAACCCGCCACCTTAGGTGTATGTGGCTGGCACCTTAGCCACTTGAGCCACAGGCGCCAAGCCCCACCCAGCACTTGGATCCATCCAACCTTCTGCTAGGATGTTGGCCATTGGTCCTTTCTCTACCAACATGAGACAAACCTTCTGCTCCATTTACTGTCAACACTTAACGCTGCATTCTCTATTTGCTTTTAGAGCAAAGTACAACATTCTGCTCCTTTCACTATTAGTGGCAAACACTTTGTGTCAGGGATCTCCAAGACTACTGCCACATTCACAGGTTTGACAAGACTCATAGGATTCCGCATGCATAGGGTATCACAAAAGTCCTCCATAAAGTCCCCATACATATGGAAAATGGGCCAGGTGCAATGGCTCACACCTGTAATCTTAGCACTCTGGGAGGCCGAGGAAGGTGGATTGCTTGAGTTCGGGAGTTTGAGACCAGCCTGAGCAAAAGTGAGACTCAGTGTCTACTAAATATGGAAAAACTAGCCAGGTATTGTGGCAGGTACCTATTGTCCAGCTACTAGGGAGGCTGAGGCATGATGATCACTTGAGCCTAAGTATGAGGTTACCATGAGCTCACAGCACTCAGCCCCATGGTGACATAGTAAGACTGCATCTTAAAAAAAAAAAAAGAAAGAAAGAAAGACTTGGTACCCATAGTTCAGTGAGTAGGGCACTAGCCACATACACCAAGGCTGGCAGGTTTAAGCCCAGCTCGGGCCTGCTAAACAATAATGACAACTGCAACCAAAAAATAGCCAGGCATTGTAGCAGGTGCCTGTAGTCTTGGCTACTTGAGCAAATCACTTAAGCCCAAGAGTTTGAGGTTGCTGTGAGCTGTGACGCTATGGCACTCTACCAAGGGCAACATAGTGAGACTCCATCTTGAAAAAAATAAATAAAATAAGTAAGAAAGAAAAAGAAAGAAAAGAAAATGGGAAATTATAGCTAAATGTGCCTTTATTCATAAAATATTCATTACAAAATTTTATAAAGAGGTGGCCAACATGTAGAGAAAATTTTGAGAATTTTTGCAAATAGGATTTTATAAAGAAAAGTACAGTTAGCTACCATTTCCCATTTTCCATATGTGTGGTGACTTTAGGGGCGACTTTTGGGACATGCTGCAGTTGTACCAACAGCTAAGATTTATTACAGCAACATATTGAAAATTTATAGCTAGATCATAAGAAGAAAATAACATAGGCTGGACACAGTGGCTCACATCTGTATTCCTAGCACTTTGGGAAACCAAGGTAGGAGGACACTGTCCCTGCAAATCACAGGAAAGTTACCCAGGTACCTGTAGTCCCTGCTGCTTGGGAGGCTGAGGCAGGAGGTTGCTTGAGCCAGATGCCTGAGGTTGCTATGAGCTAGACTGATACCATGGTACTCTAGCCTAGACAATAGAGTGAGACCCTGTCCAAAATAAAAAAGAAAGAAAGAAAGAAAGAAAATTAAAGAAGAGAGGGAAAGGGAAGGGGAGGAGAAGGAGGAAGAGAAGACTGAAGGGTTCCATGCACAGGCTTCCTTATCCTCTCTTTCCCATGAGTGCTCACACAGACCACATTCTTACTCCAGCAACAAAAACGCAGACACACACATGTGTGTGTGTCTCTGATGCCCAGAGAGGCAGAAAGAGAGAGGCTGTTTAGAGACTCACTGGGAACTCAGCACCCAAAATTCTAACAGGATGGACACTCTCTGCCTAGCATGTGTCAAAATGCCAGATTCCCAGACGGAAAGCACATGTTCAGAAGATTGTACATACAAGCAGCCTAGGCACAGTGAGCCATCCTTACCAATTAGCAGAAGTAGGAACACTCAAAATCCAAGTTCCCAGAGGCCAAGGGCTAATCTTGTAAGCAAGCCTTTCTTAACATAGCAGCCTCAGGCCTGCAATGTTAACCCTTTGGATGGACCTTGATCTGACTCTTACATTTCAAATGTTAAACATCACGTTTACTATTAACTCATTAACATATTCTGTTTCATTCACTATTAACACTAGACACAGCATTTTGTTCCATTAACCACTGATGTCAGACACACATTCTGTTCTATCCACCTTTATGCTAGACACAGCATAATGTTCCATTCATTTCTGATACCAGACACAACATTCCACTTCATTCACTACTAACACCAGACCCTATTTCTCCTCCAGTCATCCTTACAATTAATGTAACATCCTGTTCCTTTCCCTGTTAACCCTAGACCCTGTGCTGTGCTTAATTCACTTTTAACACCAGATATAATGTTCTGTTTTATTTACTACTAATGCCAGACATCACATATTCTCTCATTCACCCCTAGCTGAGGTGCAATATTCTGTTCCCATCACTGTTAATGCTTGATGCTTCGTTCTACTTTCTTTTAGTGCTAAGCACTGCTTCCTGCTACATCCACGATTATCATCTGAATCACATGCTGTCTTATTCCCTCAACAGTAAACACAACATTCTGCTTTACTATTAATGCCAGACACCCTACACTGCTTCCTTCAGCCATATGCTAAAGACAACATTCTGTACCATTTCCAATTAATGAAACACTTAATGTCGTGTTTTGATACAGAAAAGTTGAAAGATATACAATAAACACCCTACTGTCATTCATCTAGATTCATCAACTACTATTTTCCCACATTTACGTTCTCTTGTTAGGTAGCTGGATAGACAAATAGGCAGGTATTTTTGGTGAATCATTTGAAGGCTAAACAGACATGACCATTCACCTCAAAATAAGGAAGAAAGATCACAATTACAGGATTACATTTTGGAAATAAACATTAATAATTACTACTATGTATTGAATGAATTCAATATCACCTAACGTAGAACATTTGCTGAAATTTTCCCAGTGGTCAAAAAGTCCTTAGTGGATATGATGAGAGATCCAATCAAGGATCCGATCCATATTGCACATGGTTGCTCTGCTTTGCCTGGTTTACTCTAGAATCCTGCTACATTCACCGTAAATGCTTGAAGCCAAATTCTCTGATTGCTATTACACCTGATAACACATTCTGCTGTGTTCAGTTGTTCCAGCAGACATTAGATTCTGCTTTCTTCTTTGCATGTTAGACTCAATATTCTGCTCCACTCCTGGGTAACACTAGACTCAATATTTGCCTCCATTGGTTATGAACATTCAACTTTACATTTTTCTTCAATCACATTTTTAGTCATTCATTTTCTAAAGCATAGAATTCACTGGTTTTTAGTTTAATCACAAAGTAGTGCAACCCTATCTGTACAGCTGTCTACAGATCATATCTAATTCCAGAACATTTTCACCACCCCCAAAAGAAATCTCATACTCTTCAACAGTCACCTCTCAGTCCCTGCTCCCACCAGCCTCTAGCAACCACACATTCACACTTTCTGTCTCTATTCTGGAGATCTCTGTAAACAGAGTAATACACTAGGTGGCCATACATGATTGGCCTCTTTCACTCAGCATGTTTTCAGGGCTCATCCACGTGGTAGAATGCATCAGTATTTAATTTCTTTTGGGGGGTATTTTGTTGTATGGCTATATCCTTTCAGCAGCTGGACATCTGGGCTATTTGCACTCCTGGCCATAATAATGCCTTTATGAATATCTGTGTACAAATTTTGGTGTGGACACATTAATATGCTTTCAGTTCTCAAAGGTGTATACCTAGAAGTGAAATTGTTGTGTCATATGTTAACTATATGCTTAACTTTTTGAGGAAGTGCCAAACTATTTTCCCAGCTGGCTATATGATATTATAATCCCACTAGTGTTCCGACGTCTCCACATCCTCACAAACACTTATTACCTCATTGGGTTTTTTTCGTATAGGGTGCGAAGTGGTATCTCATTGTTATTTTGATTTGCATTTTCCTAATGAATAATAATGTTGAGCATCTTTTCATGTGTTTATTGGCCGTTTC